AAGCCAAAAAAAAAAAAATCAACATGAATTATTTACTAACCATATAATAATTCTGCAATGTGCCACCTTTTTGGAAAAAACGAGCAACAGCAAATGCAACATCTTCAGCAGTTCTATGAGGATCTCTACCATTATTCCAGTCTTTAAACCTTGTTTAAACCACACAAAAAAAAAAAGTAATCACATATTTAATAATCAATAATTTTTATTTAAAAGAAAAAACCATGTGTATATTAAATTAAAATTTATAAATTAATTTAACTTACCAGCCAGTCCAATTCTCCGTCCACATCTTGGGAATTTTACGTTTAGGATAAAAGTTATCAGCATAATAACCATTTGCTGTATTGATCTGCCATTTTCAAAATAATAAAAGGCGAAATTATTAAACAATAACATAAAACAATCGAGTTGAATAAGAACAAAATAAATTTTAGCGAGCCCCGTGTATAGAGTCGCGTATTTAGTAAGAGCGTTTTATCCTCCAATGCAAGATTTTCCAACGCAAATCCGTGATTTAGTCGGTTTCAATATATGTACAACATCGAGTGGAAAATTAAAAAAAAAATAAAAAACAAAAAACTAACCATGGGGTCTGGAGCATCATCTTGTTGACACATGATCCAAGGGACACCAATATTAAGAGACTCGGCAAATTTTGCACACTCTTGAATATATATTTTCCCATCATTTCCATATTCAGATTCAACTTTCCAATTGCCATATTCGTTCTCAATCTAATTTTATTGGAATTAACAAACCAAAAACAAAATTGTAAACTTCACTTCAAATATCACGAATTAATATTTTATTTTTTAAAACTAATAAAAGAGACATAAAACAAACCTGAGAGAGTATAATTGGTCCACCTTGAGAAGCAAAAAGATTTTCTTTTTTCATCATGTCAACAATCTTGCTGACAAAAGTCTTCATCTCATGCTATTAATCAAATTAAAAGAAAAATAAGTATTCGGTTTGAGAAAAATAAAGTTAGTTTAATTTTGAATTAAATGTAAACCAAAAATAATACTTACCATAAACGGAGGATTGTTGGTCCTAACAGTCATATTTTGTATGTTGTTTAACCAAACTGGAAACCCTCTGGAAGAAAAAACAAAATAAATAAATAAATAAAAGAACATTAAAAATGAAAATTAACTTAAAATATCAAATCACATGATTAAACAGAATAATTACCCGTAATTCCATTCAGCACAGACGTATGGACCAATTCTCAATATGGCATAAAGCCCTTCATTTTGTATTAATTTCATAAACTTCACAAGATCCAAGTTGCCCGAGAAATCATACTAATTATACATAAAAAAGATAAAATAAAGGAAAAAATCAATTATACAGAATAAAGAAAATCATTATCCAAAAAAGTTGGCTAATTAAATATGATAAATACAAACCTGACGATATACAGGCTCATGAGCATTCCAAAAAACATAGGTCTCAACTGCATCAAGACCTCCCTCCTTAGCTTTCTTGATCAAAGATGGCCACATCTAAAAAATATCAAAAATATTTAAAAGGTAAGGTAGGGTTCCCTACAAACGATTTAGCAAAAATTGATTATTGCTTTTATACCATTCGAACTATCTATGGAGTATTGGGCATCAAAATTTGAATATTTCTAGACGGGGAATAATTTTACTACTTGTCTTTCGTCTTTTAAACTTTGCTTTTGATTCACTACCATCATCAGGAAAAAAAAGTTGTTACGCTTTTAATAGAAAAAAAAATCATATAACATGCCTCAATTGATTTGAGATTGACGTATCACACAAGGTTGATTGATTGATAACATTTAGCATAACAAAATCACATTATATGGTACAAAATATTTTCGACCTTTTGATAAAAGAGAATAACAAATATTTGATTTACCTCTGCAGTGCTACGAGGATAATGAATGGAACCAGATAATATAATTTTTCTTTCGCCATTAATTTTTAAAGCTCGATCATCATACGTGACTTCAGTAGCAGAAGAAATCAAACAAAAAGAGAAAAGAACCACAAAAAGTAGTAAAAAACTTGTGTATGTAGCCATGGCTGGACCTAAAGTTGAAACTAACGTAGAAAGAATTATTAGAAGTGGCCTCTATTTATAATACATAGTAGTAGAGCAATTAGAGACCTAGTTGAAAACTTTGTTTTATATTCTATCTGTTATTAAATGTGAATTTATTGTGTTTTATTCAAGCTCTAGTTGTTAATTTCTATACAAGTCTAGTTTAGCGCCAACTTTCTTCCATCATTCTCTATCTCTTTTTATTCTAATTGGGTAATTCTTGAAATTTTTTGGCTAATTTATTTTGTAGATTTTGTTTTATTAATCTTATCGTGTGAAGCATACTATTTTTTTACAAAATACTTGATTTAATTCGGTCTAGTAAATATATTACGTCTACAATAACGTAACTTTTATTTTATTTTTCCATCGGAAATATACATTTTAACCTTTTATGAAATTTAAAATATTATATATTGTGAAAGCTATCAGATATAATTGGATCTTGTAAATGCCAAAGATCCAGTTAGATACCTTACGTAAATTATTATATCAAAAAAATGATTTGTTAAGGGACGAGTTCTAGCTTATATAAAACAGTTATCTTACATGTAAGTTTCAATTCTTACCGACCTCTTTCTTTTTCCTATATAATAGGGGAATATTCAATCAATAAGTTCATCGGTGATAAATTAAAATATGAAAACTTTGAGAAGCAAGAAATTAAATAACTTCGAAAATATATTTAAATTTTGAAATTTTGTGAATATTACAAACTAGTTAAAATTGACATATGTCATATGCAATTCTATCCTCTCTTTTTTCTGAGACAACAATATTGGTTTATCTTTTTGAAGTAGTACACGCCAATTCAAATACTCATTGGTGTAACAATTAATTAATTAATTTCTTGTTTTAATTGCATAGTATTTTAGGGAAATAAGTGTTATCAGTTACGCTAAAGAAATTAAGAGGAAAAAAAATAGTTATATGAACATGGAATCAATAGTTGGGTAGAAGTTTTCTATGTTTGTACTCAATGGCTTAGAAAAGTAATACCAAATGAATGCAGCAGTTGATGTAAGTCATATTATAGCACATCGAAGAAGCTGATTGCAAGCTGTATGAACATTTTTGTAAGTCTAATTAAATGTCACATAACAAATCTAATTAAATGTAATTTAACACTTAACAGAGAGCATTAGCAAAGAGGTGCCAAAAGCTGATGGCAGAGACTCATGATTTTTGTGAACAAATTTCGACAGCTTTACTGTGGATAAAGTTTCCGTCACGGACATGTACATCAAATCAATAAGTACACGATATGTAATTTTTAGTGAACTTCTATCACTCAAATTAATGTGTGTTTTTACATCAATATACTCCCTCAACCATAATTAACTTATATGGAATTTGGTATAAATATCGTATATGAATAAAAAAAAAAAATCTGTAACAGCATACCCTGTTCGAAAATAAATAACTTCTTGTAGTAACTCATTTCCCCTAGTTCTGGGTACCACATTGATAAATATAGTCAACTACATGTACTTACCTTCTAAATAAGCCATTAGTGTAAAGAAATTTATGTATCAAAGTTAAACTTGCCAAAGAAAATGCTGTGTCCAAACAGTTTTTATTCCCTTTTCTTGACTTCTAAGCTAATTCCCTTTTAGTTACTGTCACAATATCTCTCGTTCTGGAGATTGTTGCTGATAGGACTTATTCTCTGTTTCTTGATTAAAGAAATAACTCCATTTAGCCTCAACAAAAAAAAAGTGAAGTGCTTGAAATGTCAGACTTCCATATTCTTGTCACAAATCGGGCGAAATTTTAAAATTTGATGTGAAGAACTACAATTTTAATGCAAAATGTAGATATTCCAATTCCATGTAGGGAGATGAAAAATAATGACATGTCAAACCATGAGCATAAATGCCAAGGAAATAGAAATGGCACACTTTTTTGCACAGAACACAGCTACACATCCAGTTGAACAGTCAAAAGTTCAAAACTGTACAGTAGAAATTCCAACTCGAAGCCTCGAGCTATCAAAAATAGGGGAGAATGAATTAGTCTTGAACTACAGGTCAAACCACAAGTACAAGAAGCAATATATTAAAAAGTTAAGAAAGACAGATTTGGAGGAACAGAATGATGCAGCAAGTTTCTTAGCTCTAGGTCAAATTTGAAAGCACAGCACAATGAAGATACTTCTCCCCCATATAGAAGCAACTAAATACATCCAGTGACTATTGACCTCGATACGTATGTATATATTTGCTCATTAGGTCCCTTTACCCTGTTGAATTTGATGAAGAAGAGCTGCTGCCAACTGCAATGTTGCCTGCAAGCGCTTCTGTGGGTCCGTTTCCTCATCTGCTGCAGTCTGCAGTTGGTTCAATTGAGTGCCATGTTGAAGATCTCTCGGAGGTGGGCCTGGCAAACTCATAGTTGGTTGTTGTTGCTGCTGCTGCTGAAGCAAATGCTGCATTTGACCAAACTGTGATGATGAAAGATCAACAGCCTGATTGTTTAAGGGCGGAAGATTCTGCTGTGGTCTGTATGAGTTGTCAGGCATGTAAGCGGTGCCTGATTGTCTAGGATCTTGTCCTGTGGGTGTAACCCCAGATTGTCTCTGCTGTCCAAGAAGTGATGAGGCTAACAATGCAAGTTGTTCTGATTGAAGAGGTGCTGACATTGGTGTCTTTGCCTCCAGAGGAGGTCTGTTATTCCCATTTGAATGGATACTTGAAACTTCACCCCTGTAGAAGCTTGAACTTTCATGTCCTGTACTAGGCATGACCGGATTATATCCCTGAACCATTGCAGGATCATTTCTGCCACCGGATGATTGTGAGGTGATATTCTTAGCACCAGGATTCATGTTCTGCATATCATGGGAAGACCAGTTCTGTCCCATGGCAGGGTACTGCTGATTGGCCATGTAATTATTCCTGTCTCCACTAAGTGGCTCCGAAAAGTTACCACTTGGGTGAAGAGAGCCTGGAAATGAAGCAGCTGGAGGTCCTGTATCTATGCCAGGAAAAGACATATTACTACTGAGTCCTGGCCTCTGAGTAGTTGGGTAAGATGTAAGTGCGGAATTAGGCCCAGAAGGCGATATCGGCTTGGCAAACGATGTCATGCCCTGGAAACCGGTAACACTGCTTTCATTATTTTCAGGCTGTTGGTGAAGAGACGCATAACTGGGACCAGTAGGTTCTAATCTCAAAACAACACCAGAGATGCTCAGTTTTCCTGGCACTTTAAGGACTTTCTCAGAGAAGTCTGAAGGAGGTACAAGAAACATAGTGGTCCTATCATCCAATTTCGCCACAGCAGCTCGCTGCTTCTCACCAAGATAATTCATGAATTCATTGTAAAATGCCATGTCAGGATCACTAGCTGGAACAAAGAAGACAACCCAAGAACCAGCTGCTTGATAGTAATGCTTTGCAAGCATGTCTAAACTAGTCCTTGCTGTGCAGTCTAAGAATACAGGTCTGCAGAATTGTGAACCATTGCAAACTCAATGGAAGAAAAAGAATTTAAGTTCTATACATAACACGTGGGTGTAAAGTTCTCAATCTAAGAAGATAAGCTCATTTTTTTCTTAAGTGTAGTAGTTTGATCCCAAAAACCCTGTGAACAAATGTATGAGAAGACAGAAATTCGTAATTCTAAGATGAACGAGAAAGTTAAAACAAGTCTTGTGACTACTTAAGTACCATTCTAGATTCTTCCCATGTACTTGATAACATGAACAAAGATTTCCTACTCCATACAAGAGAAATGATGATTGCCTCCCAAAAGGGCAAGAAGGCGCAAAAATCAATCTCTGAATCTCCTTAAATTAGGTAGAGCGGACTATTAACACTATCCATTTTTTATCTGACTTCTAAGATAAGAGATGCCCTAATCGAAAAATTTCACTTCTACGTAACGAGGTTGTAAAACACTGAATTCTCCAAAGAGTACACTATCAGAGTTCTATTACAATTCATTCTCGGCCATATAAACGGAAAATGATTATATTTGACTTGAGCAAGCCTAAGTACTGTTCTTACAGCATCAATCGCCCGAACACTGTACAAGTCTTGTAGAAAGTTGCTCTAAAGTGATACTTACCTGAATGTTGAGCTTACCAATCCAACATTTAAAAGTTAATTCAAAAGCACATATAGGAAACTACAATTGTTATACAACATGAGCTCCATGGACTAAGTATGATTTTATCAGTTAAAGCAGAGTATATTTGTACTTGTGATATTTCTGTGTGAGGAAGGGCTTCAAGTCAAATGTCTAGAGGGTAGGTGTAACGACCCGGCCGGTCGTTTTGAGAATTTAAGTCCCGTTCGGCGGCATAAGGTCCTGAGCAGCTTCGTATCATGTGTATTGACTTGCGTGCGTGGTCAAATTCAGTTATAGGATGATTCGGAGTCAAATCAGAAGAAGGATTCATGTTTTAGAAGCTTAAGCAGTAAGAGTTGACCGGAATTTGACTTTTGTGTAAACGGCTCCGGAATTGGCTTTGGATGACTTCAACAGCTTCGTATGGTGATTTTGGACTTAGGCGTGCGTCCGGATTTGGATTTGGATTTGGAGGTCCGTAGGGTAATTTGGAGCATTTCGGCGAAAGTTGGAAAAGATGAAGTTTTGAAGGTTGAGAGGTTTGACCAAGAGTTGACTTTGGCGATATCAGAGTCGGAATGCGATTCCGAGAGTTGGAACAGCTCTGTTATGTTATTTGGAACTTGCCTGCAAAATTTGACGCCATTCCGGGTTGATTTAATAGATTTCGACATCGGTTGTAGAAGTTTGAAGTTTCAAAGTTCATTAGGTTTGAATTGGAGGGTGATTCGAGATTTTAGCGTTGTTTGATGTGATTCGAGGGCTCGACTAAGTTCGTATGGTATTTTAGGACTGGTTGGTATGTTTGATGGAGGTCCCGGGGGCCTCGGGTGTGTTTCGGATGCTTAACGGATTGAATTTGGACTTAGGCTAGTTGCTGAAGATTTTCTGGTTTCTGGTGTTTTCGCACCTGCGGAGGGGAGACCGCAGGTGCGGGATCGCACGTGCGGAAGGAGGAGCGCAGGTGCGGTTTGTCAAGCTTGGTCTGTGAGCGCAGGTGCGAAATGGGAGCCGCATCTGCGCATCCGCAGATGCGGAGGATTGACCGCAGGAGCGAAAAGGGCGGCCTGGGCAGAGTCGCAGATGCGGAAGGTCATCCGCAGAAGCAGGCTCGCAGGTGCGTGCCCTGGTCTGCAGAAGCGGATCTTTGGACCTTAAGCCATCTCTGCACCTGTGATGGAAATTCCGCAGGTGCGGCGTCGCAGGTGCGATTGGTAGTCCGCAAATGCAGAATCGCTAGGCAGAAAAGGTCAATTTCGAGGGTTTGATCTCATTTTTAGTTTGGGTCTTTGAGAGCTCGGATTGAGGCGATAATTCAAGGATTTTTCAGAGAGAACTTTGGGGTAATGATTCTTAACTCGTTTATGGTTATATTGCACTAATCTATAGTTGATTTCATCATTTAATTAAGGAATTTGGTTGAGAAATTTGAAAAAAATGGGAGAAGTTCTTCAACTAAGTTTTTGAGTTGTGATTGGGATTTTGACATCATATTTGGATAACTTTGGTACGAATGAACTCGTGAGTAAATGGGTGTTCATATTTTGTGACTTTTACCCGATTCCGAGACGTGGGCTCGGGGAGGCTTTTTGGGGCGATTTTCTAATTTCTTGCTTTAGCTTTGATTTCATTAATTAGATTAGTTTCTTATAGTTGTATTTATGGTATGTAATTGATTTTGGCTAGATTTGGGCCCTTCGGAGTCGTATATTCGTGGAAAAGGCATTGGTACCGATTGATTGAGCTTGGTTCGAGGTAAGTATCTTGCCTAATTTCGTGTGAGGGAACTACCCCTTAGGATTTGAGTATTCTATGCTAATTGTAGTCCGTGTACGCGAGGTGACGAGTACGTGCTCGGACCTATTTGTGGAAAATTGGCCTTTTAGGGTTCTTAGGTCCTTGTATTCACTGAATATGCAGTTGTTCTCGTTATGATTACGTTTCTTAATTACTAGTTTCACTTCTACCTGCTTTTATTAGAATTAATTGCTTCATGATCCACTCTTGTTGTTCATTTGATTCATATGTGCCTTAACTGAAATTGTTATCTCTTCTATTGCCATGTTGTCTTTTCCCTAACTGCTTATCTTTAATTGAAGTTATAATTATCTCTTCTGTAATTGTTCATCCTTAATTGAGGCAATGATTATCCTTATGTTGTTTATCCTTAATTGAAGTTGTTGTGTCTCTTTCGTAATTGCCCAACCTTAAAAGAAGTTAGATATCTTATATTTTAGTTGACTTGTCCTTATTTGGAATTATTCGCCTTGTGTTAGCTCCCTCGTTGTCGAACTGTACATTGTGGACCGTTGTTACATAATATTTCCTTTCTTGTTGAGTTGTTCTTATTATGACTAGCATTCTCTATTGTGGCTACTCCTTGTGAATTAGTTCCTCCGTTCCTTTGAGTTCTAGAATTTCTGAGTTGACTTATTTGTCGTACCCTTGTATTACTGCCATTGTTGTTGTTGTACTTGTTGTGAGGCACGAGGTTTCTGTCATGCGGTTGTTGTTATTGTGATGCACGAGGTTTCTGCCGTGCGGTTGTTGTTATGGGGTTGCACGAGGTTTCTGCCGTACTATTGTTACTGTTGATATTTGCACATGCGACGTAACAAGGCGGGATATATATATGTGGGTTGCGCATGTGGCAAGACAAGGGGGAACATTGTTATGCACGTGTGGCGAGACGAGGCGGGCACTTACTTTATTATTGCACACATGGCGAGACAAGGTGGGCTATGTAAGGGATTGATTTGTGATGACTTGTGATGGCTTGGGGGCATTCTTGTTGTTTGATGTTTGTGTAGTGGTACACTTACCTGTGTGAGTTTTATCTTGTCAAAAGTTGTTAGAAAACATTCTACGTGCTGTCCATTTCTTTTCCTGTACTTGCTAGCGGGCATGAACTATGTTAGGACACTTGCACAAGCATACACGTAGTTGAGCACTCTTATCGGTTAAGAGGTTTTTCTTGATATTGTTAAGTACAGATGCACACCCTTGTTTACTTGCCTTCTATGTGAGAATGGCTCTATTTGGCACGTGAGTCGTCAATGCGGTTATGAAGTGTAATGAGGGCACAGGATGCCAAGTGTTAGGGTTCAGGTATTGGGACCCGTGAGTTGTGAATAGTATGAGGTTCGGTACCTCGTGAAGTTTATTGACCTAAACCTGGTGTGAAAGTGGTTGTTTTCATCTAGTTGCTACCTGCCCTTCTTTTAATTGTGTTCATCGGATTTAGGTTGTGTTTCCATTCATTCTTCTATGTCATTATTATGGTGTTCCGTTGATAGTTGTTATATCCCTTTCTTACTGAAATTTACCGTATCAATTGCCACTTCGCGTAGTCTTTATGTAGATATCATACTCTATTGTTTCTATACTTATATTTGTTCAGGTTATTTAGTCCGGTAGGTGTCTTGATTGTTCCTCGTCATTACTCCACTGAGGTTAGTCTTAATACTTGCTGGGTACCGCCATGGTGTACTCATACTACACTTCTGCACATTTTTGTGCAGATCCAGGTATTTCGAAGTCAGTTGATCTTTAGCTAACTGTGCGGATTGTTGCTGCGGAGACTCAAGGTAAACCTGTTGCTGCGTTCGCAGGATTCGGAGTCACCTTCTGATTTGTATTCATACTGTTTACTTTGTTTTAAACAGTTGTATTTAGAAAATTGTAGCAAACTCTGTAGAGCTTATGAGTTGTACTACCGGTTTGGGAAATTGTAAATTTTATAGAGATTTCCATTTCAAAAATTGTTAGATGTTATTTAATTATTGTTGTTATATAGTAAATGTTACGCTTGCCTAGTCCCTAAGACTAGGTGCCATCACAATACACAACGGTGGAAAAATTGGGTCGTGACAGTAGGAGCCCTGCAGTTCGAAAAAGATTTCCAACTGGAAGTCGTCTATCAGTTTTTTATTTCAATAACTTGAGAGCTTTAGGGTGAGAAATTATGTCTATGGAAACATTTACCCCTGAAGCAAGTTATTACTTACAAGTTCATGTCTAGATGTTTGCCCACAGGAAAGCATCGAGCGCGACAGACAGCAGTTCCTCCCTTGGCTATTGTACCTTCCCATTTCCACTCAGTATTCATGGATGAGGGATGTGGTTCAGGAGTCAATCTTTTCTGCTCAGCATTTGAAGCCAATTGACCAGACCCCACCTTAAAACCATCAAAACGTGAATTCCATCGTTCATTCTCCTCCGGATAAGGTAGATTCGAGTTCATCATCCGCTCAGGGATCTGTCTATGAACAAGAGATCCAGAATCAAAGTTTTTATCAAGAACCTGGGCTTGAGAAAATTCATGGTACCCCCTGTGTTTTGCTGGTTCCATATCAGTGAAAGGATATTCTGGAAGCTCATTTTCTGGAGGATAGGAGCTGGTCTTCAGTTTCTTAGCTTCATGAAAGACTAAAGGATCCTCAGGCAAGTCCCATGAATCATCATACAATGGATCTTGTCTAGGGAACCGCTGAGGAGAAAACTCACGTATGTCTAAAACTCTTTTCCTTGGAGGACTACGCTGATTGTAAGCATTGTCCCCATGTCCCAGTTCAGAATCCAGAGCTAGAAATTTCCTCCTGTCAAGTGCACCATCTTCACCTGCCCATGAATTACCCCTTCTGCCAAAACCAACAAGACGAGAATCACCAGGATCCATATCTGAGTTAAACCTTGGAGACCTCATGCCATGATCTCCAGAAGCATTACCAAAGTCCCTACCATGCCGAAGGTTCTCAGAAGAACCAATGTGCCCATATGATCTCAAATGTGAGGATGGTGAATCATTCATTGAGCTCCTCTCCTTGTTAGAGGTTCCAGATTCCGACCTCGCAAAACAAATATGTACACGAGGGTTGCCAAATAATTTTCCTTGTAACGTTTCTTTTGCCCTGCAAGCTGCCATCACATTCTTGTATCGAACAAAGGCATAAGTTCTACCAGGAAATGCAGTAATCTTATCTATTTGTCCAAATGGGGAAAAGGCTTTTCGTAAAATAAATTCGTCTACTTTCAATTGTGCAGGAAACCCAATCCATAAAACCTCACTGGGTTCTCCACTCTTATCATTTAACCTTGATTTGTCCGGATGTGGTGATAAGTCAGGAGTAGAGTGGCGAGGCCTCAAGTCCCTTTGTGGAAGTGGAGATCTTCTTATCATGGGACGTTCATCTCGACGTGGAAAATACTCTTCATCCCGTGCTGGAGGTGATGATTTTTCCTGTGATATAAACCCTATTTAGAGCAGAATTATCGCCATTTTTTCTTGATATATTTTTAAATTAAAAAACAAAAAACAAAAGAGAGGTGGATCTGCTGGCATATAGATTAACTTCTTCACCAGAAAGTAATAATTATACATGGTGAGTTGCAGTATCATTGTTGAGAAGTACAACACTAAGAGAAGTAACCTGTTAGTCGAAGAACATGCTGCATTAAGGAATAAGGATCAATCAAAACCCTCAAAATTTAAAACTGGTCTCAGTTCTTGTGAAGGGCTTTCTTTCCATACTCTTGTTACTAGTATACACTCTGCAATACAGTAATACTGCATTATCTTCACGAGGGTACTGTGATAATTGCAGCTAGAATCTGGAAGTAAGATGATGAAGTGTACACATACGCAAACAAACATACATGCATATAAGACATGACAAATACAATCATCTAGATGGACATCAGTTTAACTACTATTTAAACAAGTTGGGAATAGCTCAACTTCCAGGCTCATATCGCCTACAAACACAGAAACCCAAGTCTATAGGGGATGTGGCTACAGCATCATGACTTCAGACCGTCTCTTTTAAGTGCAAAGAGGAAACGCGACGTCCAGACAGAAGTATAAATGTCAATAGATCTGTGTCTTAACAAAAGCAACATTCTTCCGGTAGAAGAAATGCAAGATTTCACTGATGCAGTGACCTGCGGATGTGAAGTAGCTTTGCGGTTTTCCACTGAATTTCTATAACCAATTCTTACAGAAGATATGATAGGAATACACCTAATATTTTACTTGTGAGGCTCACTCACATGCAGCTTTCAGTTACCTTTCTGAGACTTAGAGCCTATTTGGCCAAGCTGTCAAAAACTGCTTATTTTGAAAAGTGCTTTTTGAAAAAGTAATTTTGCAAAATAGCAGTTTATGTTTGTCCAATTCATCTGAGTAGTGCTTTTTGCAAGCTCTTTGTGTTTGTCCAATTCGTTTGAGTAGTACTTTCTGCAAGCTCATTGTCTTTGGCCAATCTTTTAAAAAAGCACTTTTAAGTATCAAATTACGAAAAAAGACAGTAAAGGTTCAATTTGCACTTAATATTATTTAGAAAAGAAAAATAAATTTAAACACTTATTATAAAGGAATTCAATTAAAACATGAAACGTAAAGTAAAAATATAAATTAAAAATTTCAATCAATATAAAATATAGTTATTCCAAATTAATAGCATTGAGTGTGTGGTATTACTTATTGTTTACATGATAATTTAAATATGTCAAAATACATCATTCAATATAAATTTAAAATTTACTCTTAGGAATAGGAGAAGAGAATATAATTATGATTAAAATAAAAAAGAGAAGAAATGTATAGTAGAAATAAAAAGAAAAAGGAAAAGGAAAAGAAAAATGTTAAATTAAGGAGGGATAATTTGAAAAATATAAATTTAGTATAAGGCTATTTTTATCTTGAACAAATTAATTTTCTGCTTCTGCGTCTGCTTCTTGGAAGAAGCTAAAATTTGTAGCTTCTCCCAAAAAGCAAAAACATTGTTTCTGCTACTGCTCAAAAGTACTTTTTCATTTTGGCCAAACACCTTAAATTTTCCGAAAAGTACTTTTTTGACAAAAAAAAATAAGGTACTTTTGGCCTGCCAAAAACTTGACCAAACAGGCTCTTAACTGATCAAATCCATAGGGAAAAAGCCAGGCATAAAGCACAAGTTATCGATAGCACAAAAGCCAAAAACGTGTCCAGGCATTTTGAAGAAGACAACCCAACAACATATATCTTCTGTTCTAGCCCCTAGATTATCAATGAAAGGAAGCTCTAGAGATAGTCAAGTTACAGGACAGCAACACAACCTCTGCACATATTAAAGGCACAATCTCCTAACTTGAAAAGAATATATTTCAAATACCTCAACTTAACACACCTATTTGCTCTTCCCTGGAGTATATCAATGGTGCACTTGAATAAACACCGTGGATGTAACCAATCACTAAGCTAAGCATCAATTTGACAACCTTCATCCTGCCATGAACTAGGAAAACCAGTTGGAGAAGCAGAGTGGGAATAAACAACTAAGAGAAGCTACTCTTCTCCTTTGCTGAGTGAAGCGATAGTGGTGATGTCAAGAAGCACAAAGTGAAAAAAGGCGCCAAGTTCCGCAAGAGCTCTAAGCTAAAAACATTATTAATACTCTTTAGTGAAGAAATCCATATGACAAGAATTGCATGTGCGTACGCAAACACACACACACACACACACATGCATGCACTCATATATATGTACATACACACACATGCATACGCATGCGCGCGCACACACACCTATATATATATATATATATAAGAGAGATATTGCAAGTAAATAACCCGAACAACAATTATATGGATGAATTAATTAAAAAAGCTACAGTGAGTCATATATAAATGAAGTAAAATGATGACAATCAAATCAAAACCATCTTATATTTCTTACTAGGATACAAAAATGCAGTTCTAAAAAGTTTGTCCATTGAATGGGCAGGAGATATAGGAGATATGTTTAGAAAAAGCTCTTTTCACTGGGAAATGGAAAAGATGGTAGCACTATTAGGACCTCAACCAAGTACACTTAGACAACACTGAGCAGAAGTGGAAAAGTTACACCGAAGAAGACGAGGATCATGGTCATTTGCATATTAGTGGCAAAGAAAAATCCTTAAAAATGAGGGAACAATCTGCACATCTTGTAAGTCAAACTTGTACAGTTATTCGAATTGGAATTTCCGAAGAGAAAAAGAAAAGAATAAAAATGATTCCATTTCACAAACCTCACTATAAGCAATTCGGAAACAACAATTCATGCAAAACAAGATCTCAACTAAATTGCCTAACTTCTAACCTGCGTTACAAAACAAGAAAATTGGGATCCTAATAATCATTAAGTGGCATGAAGCATGCACATAAAATAGCACAATTAAACATGGGCATGACTCCAGAAATCACTTTATATGCAAAACCTACCTGAAAAGGATAACAGTTTGGACAGCTTAGAAACTCAAATAGCATACGAGCCTTATTCTGACTAGTCAGGTTCAACCATTTAAAGAAAGTATAGGTCTGAGACCAATCATGTTTTTTGACAGATAGACACATATCCCTCATATACTAGTCAGTGACACATCTAACTCGTGTACTAGTCATCCAGGGCCACCTGAAAACAGACAACAAGTGGAGCTCGAGGAAATAGAAAGAGTGGAAGAAATTTCATGTAGATGTTTGTGACTTCAGCAAGGGGATAAAAATACAAGGCTCTTTCATAGAATAGCCAATGCCCATAAAAGATATAATTCTATTGATAGAATAGAAATAAGGGGTACTATTAGAAGATGCAAAAGTGATAAAGGAGCACATACTGGAATTTGTTCCAATTTGTTCAAGGAAGCAGAGCACTGGAAACCAGATAGGAATAATGACAGTTTGGCTCGGATACCATGATAAGAAATGGATCCTGGGTCTAACTCGACCCCAAAATGTAGCTCATGAGGTAAGAATTGCTCAAGACCATACGAGGGGACCAAGTCCCCCATCCACTACCAATGTGGAAATCCAACATCTTGAAAGCTTTTTCTCTCCCAAAGAAGATAGGTTTGAGATAGGGTGAATGCTTATCAGCTGATCTTTTTATCATGGTGATGGGACTCTCGACAGAATGTTATCCGGTTATCCCAAGTTGTGGAGATGAACTGGTCAAGTGGATACAGAATATTGATAAGGAAGGTAGATTTTTGGAAAATATGCTGACAATACTTCGGTTTTGTGTGATGCAAACAAGAGGCAGACTACATCTAAAAAGGATCCTAGTTGCAATCAGGGCAGTAACAGATCTTCATAGAACAACTTATTTTCAAACAATATTTAATGAAATATTCGAGAGCTAGCAGATAAGTTTGAGCTGCAAGGTTGAACAACTGAAACAAGGTATCTGGAAATACTACTTTGCGCAAAATACAAGACAGTAATACATGAAAAAGTCCATTGAAAAATGGGAAAAAAGGCTAACCACGTGGAAGTAACAAAATCTATCTTTTTGAGAAAAATTGTCATTGGTGAATAGTGAGCTTTATAGCATCCCAGCATACCTGATGTCATTAATTCCTATTCCGTCCAAGATAGAAAAGGGTGAGTAGAGTAAGGTTAGGATGACGTCAAGTCGTCAGGCCCCTTATGCCCAGCGCAACACACATGCCATCATGGCTGCCGTAAGGTTGAAAAGAATGCTTTATATAAACATCTCAATGTCAAATACAAAATGAATGAGGAGAAGAATCAAGGAGACGAGTTTCCTAAAAGAGAAAATCGTGGTGGAAAAAGTGTGAGGAGAATTCTAAACTCGAGATATGCAAAATAAAACACTCCCCGAGATGGTATTGTTTTAGGTCATCATAGATTTTTCTATCAATTAAAGTTATTATGCTAACAGATTAAATTTCTTCATAACACCTTTAGGGGTTGTTCCAAGATTCTTTTAGAGTGAATTCCTAGGGAAAGGAAATCAAGAAGGAAGAAAGATGCATCTGATTAAATGGGAAAAGTGATGCAATATAAAGAGGATGAGAAATTAGGATTAAGGAATCTCAGGCTTCACGAAAGCCTCCTATTTAAATGGCTTTGGAGATAGAATAATGGAAAAAATAAGCATTGCAAAGAGGTCATCAAATAAAAATAAGTGCACAATATCCATAGAGTACTCCAATTCACGCTCCACATGGATTTCATTCTGAAAACGTATTAGTAGTTTTCGAGATGAGTTTGAGAAGGGAAAAAAAACGTTGAAAGTTGGTGATGGAAGGAAAATCAAAATTTGGGAGGAAAAATGGTATGGGATACCGAGATTTAGGAGGAATTTTCATGACTAGAAGTGGAAGAATTTCAAAACTTAAGTCGGTTTATTTAACAAAGACGGCACGTCAAAGGATAACCACCACGATGTATCGAGGTTGGGGCGGGCGGGGAGCAATGGAGTATTCTTGGTTAAGTCATATTATGAGAAGCTCCTGGTTCGGAGGAGGCTTCCTTCCATATATATCTATTTAGATCTGTAAGGTACCCAAAAAGGTGTGTTTTTTCACTTGGCTAGCAGTAAGAGGGGTAATCTAGACCTAAGTTGCTCGGACTCGAGTGCGGGTGTCTGATACGGGTGCAGATCTAGAGGTCGGATCTTTCATGATCTAAATTTTAAGATTCGGGGATACGAATCCAGGTAGGGATACGAGTGGGGGAATTCCGCTAAAAATAATTCAAATATCTAAAAATAAAGTTATAAAAATATGTTTAAATTATGAGAGATTATGTGAAAAACATATAAGGTATTTCGAGAAGGAGAAAATATTGATCAACAGGAGAATCCGAGAATGAGATAAAAGGAAAGGCATGACATGAAAATTTCTATGTAAAAGGTATTCCATTTTGTTCAATTTCACCCTAACTTTTGTTTTAATTTCAAAAATCATTGTGTATGTCCTGAATTTCTCCGTCGACTTTGGTCAAAGTACCCAAAATCGGTTGACCAAATCCGGTACGGATCCCACACCCACACCCACGTCATGCCAACACGGGTGTAGCACCCAAAGTGAAGAGTCCGAGCAACATAGATCTTGACAGCAGAGAATATAATAAAGAGGAAGGTTACGTACATCATTTGGTGCTTTATATAAGAGAGTCGGTGAAGACGTCAAAAATCTCCGCGTTCATTGTTTGATAGCCTTGAGGCTATGGCGGACAATGTTTTCAAAGGCTCATTTAAGGCGCGCTTAAGCCTTGAAGCTTAGTAAAGCTCAAGGAGGGTGATAAGCCTTGCCTAAGCGGTGCTTAAGTGTAGGCAAGGTACTAAGGCACGCGCCTTATTACCCACGAGTTCTATCTTGAATCAAGCAATACTAAAAAACAACAATGATCGGCAAATAAGTGTATTAGTTGTTAAGGAAAACGTTATAAGTGAATTTGTTACTTTTTTCCTGAATTACAACAAACCAGTGAATTTCTACAAAGTGGGGTCTGGGGAGAGTAGTGTGTACGCAGACCTTACCCCTACCCTGGGAGGACAGAGTGGTTGTTTACGATAGACCCTCGGCTAAACAAAAGATGGAAAGAAGCAGTAGCAACAAGTAATAGCAACAGCAAGATAATAACAATAAAACAGTAGGTAGTAATAGCAATCTTTGAATAAAAGGATACCATATTAACACTAATGCTACCGGTCTGAGAAAGAAAAAGAAAAATGCTCGACTACCTACTATCCTTCTACCCTAATTTTCTTGAATTACACATATATTTAATACCATCCTTCATTGTGCTTTTTTTTTTTTTTTTAACTAAAGCCCACACTTTAATTGCTCTTTGCGCTTAAAGCCCCAATAGTCCTAGAGCGCTTGTTAGAGCTTTTCGCCTTTGACAACACTGATGGTGGGATATTTTGAGATAGTTTGGAATAATTTAAGTGATTGGCGCACTCTAAATGAAGTAATGTTCGGCTCGAACTGTGGTAGATCGAAGAGAGGACGCATGGCGTGCGATGTTGCTCTACTAGCACTTATATGGGTCGTTTCGCGAGAAATAGAGGAGAGCTTTTATTCCTTATTCCTTACTTCAACTTTGTACAATGGTGGAATAACCTTTAATTCCTTATTTCCTTTTTGGTGCACCCATGAGGTTCCTTTATGTATAGAAGAAGATTGTGTGTCGTACGTTGAAAGCTAAAAAAATTTATTTTCTACCTTTAGGCATATTTCTTGTATATTTGAATTTTTTGTGCCCAAATGTTAATAAAATTAATAGTGTAGCAAAAAATAGGGGAAAATACCTCAGCAGAAATCTTCCCTAATTTGTACAGCCTCGTGGTTAACAGAAATTGTTGCATTGCAGATTGCTGGTATGTAAGTAGTTGGAATTTCCAATTTAAAAGAAATTTTAACGATTGGGGCATCCAGCAGTAGAACGATTAAAAGACCTGCTGAGAATGGTTGAAGGAGTTACTCCACAGGACACACAATGAAACTATGTGCTGGACAGGTAGAAAGGATGAAAAACTTTCTACGAAGTCCCATTACGAACTACTGGCAAGGTATTCCACTAGATACTGCATGGTCATGGAAGAACATAGACCTTTTTCTGTATTTTTACATGGTAATGGTTACCTTAGGGCTTAGTTTGTCAAAAGAAAACAAAAATCCTCTAGGCAAAGTACAGAATGGCTATGCAAGATAATCTGGAAACAAAATGCTACAAGCAAGGTAGCACGCTTTGGATAGATAACTGCACATCAAACGTGTCTGACACAGGAAAATTTGCAAGAAGAGAGCCTTAAACTTATGCAGTTGGTGCTGCTTATGCAAAGAGAACTCGGAAGTTGTGAATCATTTGTTGATATTGTAAATATGTATAATGTATGGAAGATTTGGTAATTGCTCAAAAAACATGTCGAGCAGAATTGGTGTATGTTCCTAAATCTTTATGGGATTCAATTGATAATGCCAGGTAACCTAAGATAAGTATTGAGCAGCTGGCAGGGGCAGCGAACAAGAGCGGAAGCTGATACAGAAAACCATCTCTTTATGTATTCTTTGGACAATTTGGCCAGAGAGAACACATAGGTGCGTGAAGGTAGGTAGGAGAATGCTACATTAGTTAAATATAGATCTATCCAGAATCTGAAAATTTTGGTATAGGGCTCCTTTTGTAAATGATATAGTTTGATTTCACGGAATTTCTACACTGATAAGATTCAAATCCAGCAAACTTCTGTACTTTCTCAGTACCAAATTTATGAAGAAAGAAAAATCTGAGATCTCAATATTAGAAATATATCATGCTCATATTTGGTCTTATTATACCAGAAGAATTTGATGCATGCCGAGTTTTCATCTTGCAATTCTGTCTTTACATGATATGAGAACCTCTCTAGGGAATTTAAGATAGCTAGAAATAGGCAAAAACCAGTTGCTAGCGGAAATAACTGGAAAGTGAGAGGGTGAGAGACACCTAGGGGACAGGGGTCAGATGAAACGGATGAATACCAGCAGCTAACCCTGTCCCCTGTCCCCCAAAGAAAAACAATGAAAAATCAGAAGCAGATGGTGCTCTAGAAATATCACAGAACACTGAGCAGTTGTTACATCCCGTACTTTCGTACGTTGAAGTGCGTCGTAAGTGAGTCGACGTAAGCTCGGAGAGCAAGACTATTCTCAATTTTATAAGTGTTTAAAACCATGAACAACACATGTTGGACAGTTTAGAAGTTAAACGAATCGAAGAAAGTAAGTTTCGTCGAAAGTCGGCAAAAGTTATCGCAATTTACGTTCATAAGTTTATTGAAATTTGGGTCTAATGTCACTTAACTTTTCTCCCAATATAATTGGAGTTACGGGGTCATCCACCCACCAAATTGAAGGCCTACGAGTCTAAAGTCTAGTTTCCAACATAAACCGTTTGTCGATACGGCGTCGGAGCAGAGAGATATTCGCGTTTTTGCGAGACTGCATAGGTAGCCCCCTTTGGGACCCACATAGACAGTGGAAACTTATCCAATTATATATAAACGGTGGAGACCCCATTAAACCTCATTTTTCGACCGAAATTGATCCTCACCCTCTCCAAACACTCCCAAGGCAGTTCCCTACCATTCAAGTGAAGTTCTACAAGCTTGGGAAGTGATTTCTCCTTTAAAAAAATTTGTGATGTTAGTTTAGATTGTTCTTCCCTTTGGCGCTATGGAATTGAAGTTACTTCAAGTTGAAGCAAGACATAAGTGGGTTGATTCTTGTCGTCCAAGGTAAGAATATCATTCTTCTCCATGTATTTGAGCTTAATAGAGCTTTAGATGGGTTGGATAGCGATAAAATTGCAAATAGAGGTGGTTATGTTGAAGTTGGGTACAGAGTGTTGTTGTGTGACGTTTTGAGGGATTGTTCTGGTTGTTCTTCATGTGCTGGACATATAGTTGTTGATTGTTGTTGTGTTGATGTTGTTCTTGACTTGAGGGATGTAAAAGAAACGGAGGCGATGCTGTCCGATTTGATGTAAAGCAAGCTTGTTGCTCATTTGTTAGTTAGCATGTTTCTCCTGTTGATGCTAGTGTTGTTTCATTTGTTGTGTGACGTGTTGGGACTGGTTTTGTGGTATGTATATTTATGTGTTATTGATGGTGTAATGAGGATTAGACAGGAGTTAGACGAAGATATATGTTGTAGAATCAATGTATAGAGCGGTTTGTCGTTCGTCGGCTAGTTGTTATGCTTCTCTTCATTAATAATAGTATTGTTTCTTGTGTAGCGTGATTTGTGGAGAAGGCTAGTTCCGTCATCAACGTGAAAAGGTCAGCTTAGAGGTATGTAAGGCTATTCGTTATCCTCTTCCTAGGCATGAATCTATAGTGAGTTTCCCCTCCAGAAAAGTGAGTTCCAAAATGAAATGCTTCGAAATGTTATACTCGTCATTCAACGGCTCCTTATGTTTTTACTTGATGTCGCCCTAATAGAATGTGTTTCATATAACTCTTCACAACCCATGTTCTTTTCCGGTGAGTGTTATTGAGCTATAACATCTCCCTCATAAAAACCTTCTTAGTATAACAACCTTTAATGCGAGTTGTTCTACCCATGTATTAGCTAGTTGCATACATTCCTTACTTGAGATTGCCCCAAGGTCACGAGTTCCACATGTTCAGTAGTAATCCCTTGTTTCTATCCGAAAATGCATATGAACCACAACGACTCCCTCGTAAGTATTCATATATCAAAACGACCGTCGTTAAGGGTTGCTCTACTCATGCCTTTATAGCCCGTACATGCCTTAACTGGTAGCACCTTTGTAGGTCCAATTTCAAATGTTTGTTCGTAGCTTCTTATCCTATTTAGAAGACGTCTATGAGCTATAGTGCTTCCTTATGAGGACTTCGGTATCATGACGACACAAGTTGGCACTATGTGAGCTGTTTGTTGTAGACGATTGCAGAAATGATGAGATTGCCTTTTGTTGATAGTTATTGCTTGTAGTATGATTTGATTACCTTAGTAGAAGTTATATGAGAACTCTACTTGTTGAGGCATGTTATTTGTACGATAAATACGTACAACAGACGCGTCTAGTGACCTGGTAGTACATGAGCGCTAGCCTGGCAGATACAGGCATGATAGCCCGATAAATGAAGGATACACTAGTCCAGAAGTACCGGCTTATTCCAGGAAAGTACAGACTTACGAGTCTGATAGCTAGCACATACGTATGAGACGACACGAGTAATTAGCATTTCGGTTTTATGTGTTCATGTGACTGACATATGATAGACTAGACATGGTATAAGCTGTGAGATGTTGTTATAGAAAATTCAGGAAAACAAAGCTACATAGCAATGCTACGGGTCCTGTTTGGTAAGACTAGTATATGACCTTCTAGACTTACTGTATGAGTGAGCTCTGATCTCCAGGTGATTTGACCCCTTGTTTTATCCGGTTATCTTCCTTCAGAATTCTTTTATTTGATTGCAGTACTTATTTATGATTATTCAGTTGCCTTACATACTCGGTATCTTATTTCGTATTGACATCCCTTTGGCCGGAGACGCTGCTGAAATGCAGCAGGTTTCAGTAGGCAGTTTGACGGACCCCCCCATAACAAATAATTTCAGTTCCATTTGTTGATCGGTAGACTCCATATCATCTGGAGTGTAGCCGAGCCTAGAGGTCCTTATGTTTTGAATTTATATATAGACTTATGGGTAGGTCGGAGCCCTATCCTGACTATGTTATGTCTGTCAGATGTTCTTAGAGGCTTTTGTAGACGTANATATATATTTGGGATTTTGTGATTGCAGGTGTTGCAAATGTGGTAAGATACTAGTTTTACGGAATGGGTCACTCACGTACGTAAGGCATTAAGTGCCTATCCACCTCACCTAGGTTGGGGTGTGACAGCAGTATGGTGCAGGCAGATTAAACATCTTCACATGTAGCTGTCTTAAATTCATATGACACCAAGCAGTACACCTATACAGCCTCTAGGATTTTGTCCTTCATGATATAAGTTCTGCTCTGGAGGGCTTGTAGTCTCAAGTGCTCACACAATGGTCCAAGTGATTAATCCCAAAACAGAAGTATCAAAACCTCATCTTAGACAAATCTGGCAGCTGAGCACCTTTGAAACAATAAAACGGACTGCAAATCCTGTTTCTGATTTAATATATAAATAATTTACGTTACCAAGTGGTGCAAATTCATAAGCATTATTTTGGGATCACCAATGCCTTAGACCCCCAATGTCATGGAAATCAACTGGTATCATTTTCCAAAGTTGGCCACACAGCAGCATGAGAAATAGACAGCATAAATACATAGGTGGAATACAATACTTGACTTCTATGCCTGGCGGCAACTCGGATCTTATGCTCTTTAGATGCCCAGTTTATCTGCCAGTTGTCTGGCTGTAAAAGGAAGAGGTTAGTTCACAACACTGGAAGCCGAAGACAAGGCGAGGAAGGCAGTTATAGAGCAGCAGATAAAGAAGAGATTTAGGCAACGGATATAGAGCCAATTCCAGTAGACTTATTGGAAGGTCCCATTGGCGTGCATCCAGTAGAATTCAACCTACAAATTCGCCAATTATGAGTTGGGTCCAGCCGGTAGCAGAAACATGCTTCCACTTGTTCCTAGATTGTGACGCTAATTTGGGATAGAACCGTCCGGTCCGCAAGACTATGAACGTATAAAAATAGGCACGCCCCTAGACCAACTTCATGGTGGACATATAAAAATAGGCACGCCCAATTCAGTGAACCTCTAGAAGAGCGAAGTAGAATCATCTCATCCAAACAAAGCATGTAAATATTTCAAGAGCTGACCAAAAAGATGAGGGAGGCAAACTCATTTAATGCTATGTTCAAGGATATTCTTTCTGTATATTCATTTGTTTAGGAATCAGGATTTAATTAAATTCAAACATGCAGTAGGCAAAGTAATTCAAACGCCTCACATGCAAATAGATATAAATGGATCGCCTTCCCCGGAGGACCTGACAGAAGTAGGAACAACTTAGTGAGCAGCAGTCATGCATTTTGCTCAAGTGATGATACTCTCTGTTTTGCGACTATAATATTGACAATAAGTTATACTTAAGCCACGTACTGACTTCTATTTGCATCTTAGCATCTATGTATGGTTGGCAGCTGTAAAATTTTCTGAATTAAGAAATTTCACTTTTCCTGAAAATATCATCGCTAATTATCCAACTCTTCAGCCTTACTTCTCCTATAATTTTGTTTCCAGAAGCAGAGGGAGTTTGCCTCAAGATCGGTACTTTCTGAATACAGACTAAGTTAGATCACAGAACACCATAGAAAGAGATAATTGTGTCACAATTTCAAAGCATTCAAGTAGGTCACATAAGAGAACTGCAGCTTATTTTTACATCAATGACCACCAGTCATTCAGGTCATGTATGTGAATTTGATGTATGATGGAATACATCCAGAAAGAAAATTGAGAAACCTTTCTTATCAGCTGATGAACTGCCGGATTCAAGTGTTCAACTGGGGAATGTTCTGTAGAATGTCGTGTCATATACTTTAATTTGGATACATCACTCACAGTTCTGGATGGTTTTTTGATCAGTTTGTTTCGTTAGGTGCTTATTCAGTCCAAACATATGGTTGAGAATGAGAATCCTTATCACTTGGGTTGTTGCAGTGTCACTGACACCATTATGATCTAAGAATTGGGGTTTACTGTGTTGGAGTGAATTCTAGAATAGCTAATCTATGTGTTTCCTCTTAATTTGGTTCATTGATTCAAAAAGGTAATAACCGGAACGCTATGGATGAAAGCAGTTGTAATTCTACTTTGTGGTTTTTGAAGGCACCGCACATGAGATGTTGCTTGTGAAGGACTTCCAGTATAAATGAGATGTAGCTCATAGGAATTTATTTAATTGTGAAGCCATGATAATAGTAGTTTGAACTAGATCACAACTAAGAAACCATGCAATTTGATAAATTTTCGTGATGCAAATTCTGATAAATCTGATATTAATAGCCTTTTATTATGGAGATGTGTTGCCAATGTAATTTTAAATGAAAACAGCAGTAAGATGCGGATGGTTAATTTTCATCTCTGGAAAACTAACAGGCCTACATGATGGTCCCTCAATCCCAACTGCATGCCATACAGAAAGGTCATAGCAATAGATGTTTTCCTGCTTGAACAGGATCTAATTTTGATTGTTTACTCTCACCTTATACCACATGCTACAAATACTGTTACCAATTCCAAAAGGCAACTGAAGATGAAAAGGAAAAGGAAACGGAAACAATTTACTAAATGCTAGCTTTTTTCTTTGTCATGGCAAACTAATAAGTAATACCTTGTCATGGAACAAGGTCACTATCTCAAAAACAGGTTCAGATTTATGCTCTGCCTTGGGGAAAAATCATCTCTTAAATGCATATGAATAAGAAAGAAACAAGTGCATTCAAACACTCGCAAATGTGTATATGGTGCTTCTGCTGCACTAGTATGAAGTTAGTGAGGTGCTACCTAATGCAGCTTGGACTATCCTAGAACAAAACGAGCCATCTAAAATTAGGACTTAACAGATAAATGCTGCCACTGAGCAGCTATGTGGTCCAGCTCAATTGCGGCACTAAGCAGCCGGAGGTTGATTAAAAAGACAGTCCACCTGTCCTTTAACACATCCGATGAATTGACACCAGCATCTATGCTCTCACTGGTTATTAATGAGCAAAAGTGCTAAAAGAAATGCATAGTTGGATACTCTACATGACTCTGATGGCATTTTACAGTGATCAAAAACAGACATTGCTTGAGCAAGGAGCTCGGTTCCTGATAACTGATTTTCATGGAAACACAGTAAAGGAGACAAAAATGGAAGGACCTTGTAGCCATTGTTTACTCAGATGATCCATAACTTGTGGATTACAGAGCGCACTTGGTGCGGTGTAAAACCTCTCCTGAATCCTGTGAAATTTCTCGTCACTCCCTACCCTCACAAATTAAGGCTACAAGATCGCTTGAGGGAGCAAAATACAAGGACATTCTAATATTTTAGAATTGCTAATGCCACAAGACAATCCCTGCTATGTCACTGCCATATTCTGCATGTTTGCAAAATATTTGTGGAAATTTAATCTGCTGAAAATTTCGTGGAATTGTCTTTAGATTCTCCATGTCATATAGGTATTGGATTTCATTTCTCCTTTGGTTTCAGATGATTAAATGTTTGACTACTTTAACCAATTGTTACAATTTTTCCATCTTTTTTTTTTTTTTTTTTTTT